GAGATAACTCTTTGTTGCATACAAGGCCTTTTTTTTTTTAAATGAGAAAAGGATTCCCTAGATTCTAAATTCTATCTGTGTCGGAAATATCTGTGCCAGGCCTGCACGTGGTCGATGTTACACCAATACAATAATGCCAAGCCATAAAACTTCACCTAGACTCTAAAAAGAGGAGACAGCCAGAAGTTAAAGGAAAGCTAGCTATGCCCCTCCCAGGAGGGCAGTGAAGTGGCACAGAAGACAGTGCCAGGCCTAAAGTCAGGAAGACTCATCTTCTCGAGTTCAAATCCAGGCCTCAGACACTTCCTAGCTGTGTGACCATGGGCAAGTCACTTACCAGTGTTTGTCTCCATTTCCTCATCTGTAAAAAGAGCTGGAGAAGGAAATAGCAAAGCACTCAAGGATCTTTGCCAAGAAATGGGGTCATGAAGAGTCAGATAAGACTGAATGACAACAAAATGCCCCTCCCGATGCTACGCCCCTACTCTTTGCCTACCTGTGAACTGTCTTTACTTTACTGACTCACTGCTTAGGGGGCTGTGAAAGAAGAGATGACTTATCTGTGATTTGCAAGTGTTTGTCTTGGCTGCTGTGAGGTGAGACTAATAGCTCAGGAATCCAAGACTGAACTGGGTCATTAAGTGGCTGTGTGAATTTAGGCCAATCCCTAGCTGTCTCTGGGTCTGTGTCCTCTCTGGTTAAGATGGGGGATGGGCGGGGTGCTCTCGGGGGCCCTATTCAGTGCTGACCTTCTTGGGGGAATTTGGGAGGAAGAAGAAGACTCCTGGCCCAGCACTCTGCTTAGGGAGAGGAAGGAGAGTCCAAGGAATGCAGGGACAACAGGAAGAAAGGGGTGGAGTAAACTTTGAACCATGACCAGGACTAGCACTGACTTACTGAGTGCCTGTCTGGGGACAGCCTTTCAAACTAGGATCATTTTCAAATGAGGACAATAACTTTTTTTTTAAAGCTGGGTCTCCTTATCTCACCTAGTCTGGAAGCGTGCCAGCCACTCATGGGTCCGATACCACTGCTTATCAGTGGAGAAGCTGTCACTCGCTTTGTTTCTGATCCGGTTCAGTTTCCCATTCTTAAGCAGCATGGTGCCCCTCTCCCCACCTCCAGGGGCCCACCATGTTGGTATCAAACTTAGCTCAGGCCCCCGATTGTCTTTATGGCTACTGTAGCTGAGAGCTCCGGAGCTCAAGCAATCCATCAGCCTTAGCCTCCTACAGCAGAAGGAATCACACGGCTGTACAAGCAGGGATGAAGATAACCTCAAACAGCCAGACCGCTTTGTTGGGGCTCAGCTCCTTATTACCTGCGTAATTTGGGGTGAATCATTTGACTTGTTCACCTTCAGTTTCCTTCTTTGTTAAATAGAAGTAATCAAACTGGAACTACCCACCCTACCAGGCTATTATGAAAGTCAAAGGAGAGACTGGAAAGTCTGTGTCTGAGATTATTATTATTTTTTTTTGTCTCTCCACTTGCCCTTTTTTAAAGTAATATTTTATTTCTCCCCAATTATATGTAAAAAAACATTTTTTGAGATTATTATTGATTCACAGCTCTACTGCTCTCTGTTGTTGTTGTTATTCAGTCATTGAAGTCATGGCCAACTCTCCGTGACCCCGTTTGGCATTTTCTTGGCAAAGACAACTGGAGTGGCTTGCCATTTTTTTCTCCAGTTTTGTTTTGCAGATGAGGAAACTGAGGCAAGCAGGGTTAAGTGACTTGCCCAGGGTCACACAGCTAATAAGGGTCTGATGCTGGATTTGAACTAAGGAAGATAAGTCTTCCTGACTCCAGGTCTGGTTCTCTATCCACTGAGCAGTCTTTCTTACAGTAGCCTTGACAGGCAGAGAATATAACAATTATCCCTATTTTATGCAGAAGGAAAAAATAGCTCAGAGAGATCATGGGAAGGACCTAGCTCCATATCTAAGCTCTGCCTCTTCATATCTATGTGACTTTGGCCAAGTCATTTAACCTCTCTGGCACTCAGTTTCCTTATTTCATAAAATGAGAGATATTGTGGTGTAGAGGGTAGAGAGCTAGCCTTGGAACTAGGAAGACCTGGGTTCAGCTGCTGCCTTTGACACATCCTGGCTCAGGACAAGTCATAGAGCCTCTTAGAGCTCTAGACAACTCTAAGACTATTCTTTTTTCTTTTCTTTTTTTTTTTTTTTGCTTTTTTGGTGAGACAGTTGGGGTTAAGTGACTTGCCCAGGGTCACATAACTAGTAAGTGTCGTGTCTGAGACTAGATTTGAACTCACGTCCTCCTAACTCCAAGGCCAGAGCTCTATCTACTACACTACCTAACTGCTCCTAAGACTATTCTTGAAGAAAACGTGCTGACCTGCATTCATGGTTGTACAATGATAGAGCAGGGTCTAGAGTCAAAAAGAACTGATTTCAAATCCAGCCTCAGACACTTCCTAGCTATGTGACCCTGGACAAGTCACTTAACTCTGTTTGCCCCAGTTTCCTCATCTATAAAACAAGCTGGAGAAGGAAATGACAAACCACTCCAGATCTCTGCAAAGAAAACCCCAAATGGGGTCACAAAGAGTCAGACGCAATGGAAAAACAACTGAAAAATAACAAAAAAGTCAACGTTCATGACCCCATAAACGTGAACATGAATGTCCCTTATGGCAATAAGTCCTATGATCTCTGAGGGTCCTTCCAACTGTGATGATAGGATTCTTATTTCATCCTCATAACAACTTTGTGAGGTAGGAAAAACAAATACTATCCCTATTTTATACATGGTTGAATTAAGACCCAGAGAAATATAGTGATTTGCCCGTGGTTACAAAACTAGCAACTGAGCTAGTGACCAAAGCTAGGTCTTCTGAGTGACAGCCTTGTTGCCAACCCGTTCATTAGGAAACAAAATGGTATAAGGTACATGCCCTCTGGGAGTTTATAAATATGATGTATATATGATGTATAGAGTGGGTGATGGGTAACGTTTCTGGTATCTAATCAGAGCAGCAATGGGGATGCTTCTTGTTTATATCTGAACAGTATTTTAGAAATAATAGATGTGGTATTACAGTGAGTCAGAAGACCTGGCTTTTGCTCTAGGATATGGGCATGTTATCTACCTTCTTTGGGCCTGTTTACCCATTTATAAAACTGAAGTCTTTCCTTTATTAGGATGATAGATAGAGAACCACAGGGACTCTTGGATTAGAGCTAGACGTGGCCCTAGGCACCAGTAGAATCTCTTCACTTTGCAAACAAAGAAACCAAGGTCTAAATAAGAAAAACATTTTGCCCAAGCTCCACTCAGCTGCTAAGACAAAGGGCCAGGATCCAAACCCGGAACCTCTGACATCAGATTTAGTGTTCTTTCTGCTATGCCCCAACTGGACTAGGCCCCCATAGTGCTTGTGGTCCCTTGCAGTCCTAAAATCCAAATTCCACGATTCTTGGCTTCATGATCTGGGTGGCATGCATGCAAGTTCAGGAACGCCAGCAAAGCTGGGGACAAATTTCACTGCTATTATGCAAGAATGCAGCACCGTTAGCCCTAGCAGGTAATCATTGTACAGCATCCTAGAATGAATGCTAGATAAACCTCCCCAGACTGTCTGAGATGAGATGAGAACTTAAGAGACCTTAGGTAAGTCATTTGAACTCACAGAGTTCATTGCTTTATCCATGAAATGAAGGGGTGGGCCCGGGCAATTGATAAGGTATCTTTTGGGACTAAATATGATAACCCCTCTCCCAAAAAAACCAATAAATAGCTGTTACTTCTATAATGCTTTACAATTTACAAAGTAGGTGAGCTCCTTTCTCTCCTTTCTTTTCTCCTTCCCTTTTTCTTTTCTCCTCCCCTCCTTTCATTTTTCCTAACTCACTTATTTTTAAATAAATTCCAATTTTTAAATAATTCCAAGAGAGGCAGTTGTGGTATAGTGGGCAGAAAGTAAGCCCTAAAATCCCAAAGATCTACATTAATATCTTGGCTCTGGGCTCTAACATACAAAGTTTTTACAAAGTGTTTACAACAAGTAGATGAAGTAATACACAGTTAGAGAATTTCAGAACAATCTCTTCTTGGAGATCACCTTGCTTAAACCTAAATCAAAGATCATAGATTTAGCATTGGAAGGGATATTGAAGGCCTTCTAGTCTACTCTTGCTCCCTCTCCCCATTTATAGATAAACTGAGACCTAAAGGAGTTAAGTGATTTGCCCAAGTTCATCCAGTTAGAAAATTCAAGACTCAAACCCATGTGTCTTGACTTCATGCCCAATGTTCTGTATTACACCAAACTGGCTCCTAGCTGGCTCCTCCTCAGGAATGGGGAAGGTTCTTGTTTCAGCTGTACAAATATGATTATGTAACAACAGGATCATTTAAAAAAAAATAGTAAACCTCTTGGGAAAAAAAAAGAGAATCTAAAAAGCAGGAAATGGATTGGTTTTTGCAACATGAACGGTAAGATGACCAGAGAAGTGAAATGATTTGCCTATAATCACACAGCTAGTTAGTTGATGGCAAAGATAGAATTTGAACCCAGGCCTCCTGACTCACTAAATCTAGCATTCTTTCCACTGTAGGTACTTTGGCTCTGAGTGAAGTGTGGTTTTTCCTTATACCCAGCTGCCTATAAAAGCTAGAAAAGGAAACTTACACCCTAAACTGACCAGGCCAAGAGAGCCCAGAAAGTATTCTTCAAAGGAACAGGTCGAATACTAACTATGGAAAACAAACACGTGTTTTCCATGATATCATATACTGAGGTGGGGAAAAGTATGATTCAATCCAGAATGAAGGGTAGGCACCCAGACTTCCCCAATTCTTTGCCACTGATTTCCCCCTTCTTTAGGGGAAACCTTGTGGCTTGGCTCCCATTTTAAAAAAAAAAAAGGGTGCTCTGAAGCAGTCAGTGCCTGGGATAGGGACACAACAGGCCAGCTATCTGGGGGAATGCATGGGATCATCGGTGAGTTAATGATCAACTCTTCACTCACCCAGCCACCACTCTGAGCCGGCCAGGGAAAAAAGGGCAGCCAGGAAGGCATTAGTAAACATATGGGAAGTGCCTGCCAGTGGGTTTGGCGCTGAGGCTGGGCTGGCTGTGTATACAGGGAAGGATGAAGCGTCCTCTGACAAGGTAGGGCAGCAAATGTGGAGTGGGTGGGCTCCGGGTGCCAGTGTGTGAGAGAGGTTATTTGTGTAATTGTTGAATAAGGGGCCCTATTCTTTCCGATCTTAGATGTGATCTCTGGGAGGGTAACTGAGGGTTGGAGGTGTCCACAGCAGGAAGGAGCTTTCTTCTTTTGGAGATCATATTTTTCTCTTTCCTTCTTTTCTCCTTTCTCTTCTCCTTCCCTTCTTTCTTTTCTCCTCCCCTCCTTTCATTTTTCCTAATTGTCACTCATTTCTAAATAAAATGAATTCCAGGAGAGACAGATATGGCATAGTGGGCAGAAAGTAAGCTTTAAAATCCTGAAGATCTACATTAAAATCTTGGCTCCGGGCTCTAAAATATACAGGGTTGAGTGACCCTGAACAAATTACTTAATCTTTAAGTGCTCTTGAAAACTCACTAAGGTTTTAAGTGCAAATCAGGGTAAGATCTGCATTTTTGGAGGGAGTTTCCTCACCTGGGAATCCCCTATATCGATGAAATCATAAGTTAGTTAAAAAATTTAAAAACAAACAAACAAAAAAAGTGAATTCCTGACACCCAGCTCCCATAACTCTCCTCCCATCCGTACATCCAATCTCTGGCTGTCCACCCTACCTGCTGTGCGAATGACTCCCTTTTCTCACACTTTGTAGACAAGTACTTTTTGACTCAGGTGTAAGACGGGCCACTGCAGTCTGAAGAACTGGGCTCCTGATACAATAGATAGAACGGGAAGGAATGGAGTGAGGCTAGGAGTCAGGTGGCTAGGGGCTCTCCTCAGACAGAAATGCAGTCTGTTAATCCCTATATAAGGATCCCTGAAGGACTGACAGTTTTAAAATGTAATATTATCTATGTTTGTTGATATTTTTATTTCTTTTGTTAAGTATTTCCCCAATTGCATTTGAACCTGGTTTGGGCTGCTCTGAGGGTCTCTGGTGTACATAATTAAACAGCAAATTGCCTATTAAGGGCACCAGCTCACCACTAGGCTAGGTACCAGGGGAGATGTCTTAGGATAGTGACTTCACTTCATCCTTGACTTTTTTGGCTTCCTCATCCGTGAAATGATGACAAAAATTTATTGTCCTCCTTAAATGATATGTTTACATAGTACTTAAAAGTCCCAAATGGGCTACTCAATGTGCATTATTTTTTTCAAACCTCATAGTCATACTGTGAAGTACAAATATAACCATTTTTCGGGGAAAGAAAGTGGGACTTTAGAGAAGGGAAGGGACTTATCCACGGTCACTCATCTCATCAATGATAAAGTTGGGTCATTAACCCCAAATCCACTGCTGTTTTCATGGTCCCCTGCAAAGTTAAGTACTACAGAGAGGGCAGATAGTATTTTAGGTAGCTTGCTACCTAAGTAGCAAGTAGTCACTGAGTATTATTGTCAGGCTTGGAAAGAAAAATCCTTCTGTCACGGGTGAGAAAACTAGAGAACTATAGACCTGCTGTTACTAGAAGATAAGATAAATAAAAATGCAAGATTTAAGCAAACTAACAACACTTCAAGGGCAGCTAGGTGGGGCAGTGGATAGAGTTCTGGGCTTGGAATTGGGAAGACCTGATTTCAAATCTACCCTCAGACACTGTGTGACCCTGGGCAAGTCACTTAATCCTGTTTGCCTCAGTTTCCTCATCTGCAATATGAGCTGGAGAAGGAAATGGCAAACCACTCCAATATCTTTGCCAAGAAAACTCCAAACAGGGTCATGGATTGTTGTTCCCAACTGAAAATGACTAAACAAAACAACAATTCAAAGGCTAATGGTAATGAATTCTATAATGTAGTAATCTGTAGTTTACAAAGAGTATTTCCTCCCAACCTTCCTGAACCTCGGTTGCTTCCTCTCTAAAATGGAGGTAGTGATATTTTTCCTACTTCACTGGGTTTTTCAGTGACTTGCCCAAGGTCAGCATGACAGGGGCTATGGTGTAAGTGGATTAGCTATTATGGTGCAGTAGAGAAAGCCTGGAATTTGGGATAGAAGACCTGGGTTCTTGACTCTGTGATTAACTGAACGTGTGGTCCCAGGCCAGGCATTTCATTTGCCTTCTCTCAGTTTCCACATCTGTAAAACAAGGAGGTTGGAATAGATCTATCTCTAATGTCTACGTTGTAACATTCTCTGTCCTAAGGTCCCTTCCAGCCCTGACATTTTATGTCTGATGTTCTCAAGTACCTTCCATTTTTAATATTCGGTCCTCAGCTTCTTCCAGCTCCAACATTCCACGGCCCCGAAGGACTCTAATAGTTCCATCATTTTGTGTCCCTCAGGGTCCCTTCTGCCTCGGACATCTTGAAATTCTAGTGTCATCCACTTTAAGGAAGAGTGAATATACAAGAAATAGCAATATCCCCAGAAACTTGTCTCACTTCCTCATTATCACTGTCAGTTGTCAAAACAAAATCTAAATTTCATATCATAGGAAGCAGAAGGGACCCAGCTCACGCCTCTTCATTTTATATGTAAGGAAAATGTGACCTTGGGAAGGGAAGACTCTTGTTCAAAGTCACACAGATGCACCCAGATTTCACACTCAGGGCTCTTTTCACTGCACCGAGATACATCTTGCACAATGTTGCTTTTGACTACTTGTCCAGGTGAGAAGATTTCATCCGTTAAGCTGCCCATGGAACCAGAGTTCCTAACTGGGCACTCCGATGTGACCTGAGGCTGCAGACACACAAGTCTTTTCCTTTCAGAGCAGATCTAGGAAACCTCTTCTGCTATTGAAGAGGTGGAAGGAGAGACAGGTACCCTAGTACTCCGAGAAAGTTAATGGGGTGGAATGATTTTATAGCCTAGAAAGCAGCAGGCATTTACTAGTAGCAGGGCCAAGTGCAGGGATTTTTGTAATACTTAGATCCCGGGAGGAGAATAGGGAATAAACATTTATATAGTTCCTACTATGTGCCAGGCAGTGTACTAAGCATTTTTTACAAATGTTATCTCATTTAATTTTTAGAATAATACTGTGAGGTAGGTGCTATTATCATCCCCATTTTACATTTGAGGAAACTGAGGTAAACTGAGTTAACTTAACTTGCCCAGGATTACATAGTTAGTAATTGTGTTGAACTCAGGACTAATATATAATATAAAAAAAAATGTTGATACATAAAATGTTAGAACTAGAAGGGACCTTAAAAAACAACTCACAGAATTTCAGAATTGTAAGGGGATTTTAGAGATTGTCTAGTTGAGCTCCACTACACCTAAAATATTTATCTTTCTAAAAATAAATTTTCATTATTATCTTTCATTCTTAACACTTGCCAAAATTTCTCCCAGGATCGTGTCTCTCCTACTTTTAGAGAGTCATTCTTTATTTTAAAAAAAAAAACAACTTTTTTTTTTAAAAAAAAGAGGAAGAGAAGCAAAATCCAGCAAAATTGATAAATATGTTGAAAAAGCTTGAAAATATGTGCAATATTTCTCACCCATGAACCTCCCACTTCTGCAAAGGAACATGGGAGTGTTCTTCCCCTCTCTTCTTTGGGGTCATGCTCACTCTTTGTAACTTTGCAGCACTGACTTTTGATTGCTTCGAGTTGTTCTTTCCATTTACGTTATAGTCATTATGTACGTTGTTTTCTTGGTTCTGCTTCTTTCACTCTGGATAAGTTCATGTAAATCTGTCAATGCTTCTCTATGCAGCATCGTCATATTCCTTGACATTTATGACCACAATTGATTTAGCCATTGGCTGCCCAATCAATCAGCATCTCCTTTGTTTCCAGATCTTTGCTACCATAAAAGGACCACTATAAACATTTTATATAGGGACCACCTCACATTTCATTGATGAGGAAACAGAGGTCCAGAGGGGCACATGATTTGCTCAGTCATTCGGCAAGTGACAACAATAAGGACTAGGACCCAAGTTTCCTTAATTGTTGTCCAGTGCTGTTTATACTACCACATGTGCTAACTGGTGCATTTGCTCTGTCCACAGCTATTTAAATAACTAGTGAGAAGGGCCCTTCCACCTGGTGTCTGTGAATATAGCACTGCTCTCAAAAACCTTTGTGTAGGTATGTTTGCTAGTTGGGAAGGAAAATGGTACAGTGGAAAGAGCATGGATATTAAGTAACCAGAGGACCTGGGTTTAATCCTACCTTAGACTTTTACTGTTTATGTGGGGAAGTCATTTAAGTGACCTGGGAAATAAGCTTCCTTATCTGTAAAATGTAAGAAGTTGGGTTAGTTGGCCTTCATAGGTTTCTTCCAGATCTAGACTTATGATTCTATTATGTTGATTAGATGAGCAAATCACCTTCCCTTTTACCCATGGTAATCTGGAACAAAGCAGGAAAATATTTTTCCTTTACCTTAGGATAACTGATTTGGAGGATTTAGGCTAATTATCCTGCCCCTTGGGTAATATTCTTTGATATTTAAATGATAGTGTTTTGTGTGAGATAGCTTATTATAGTGGAAACAATATTAGACTTAGAGTATTTGGATTGAAATACCATCTCTGAAATTTACTAGCTTTGTGACCCTGAGCAAGTCATTTCACAACTTCTGAGAGGTTTCCTCTTCTGTAGATAGGAAATAATACTTGTACTACCTACCTCTAGGAGTTATTGTAAGGAACAAATGCAGAAATTAGCCAGTCAGTCAATAAGCATTTATTGATCACCTGTGTGCTAGGTGCTGTGCTAAATAATGAGAATACAAAGGAAGGCAAAAGAATCTTTGTTCTCAAGAAACTCACTGTCTAATGGGGGAGATATCATACAAAAAACTGTGTGCAAACAAGATATGTAGAGGAAAAATTAGAGGTAAATCAATAGAGGGAAGTCACTAGCATTAAGGAAAATTAGGAAAGTCTCCTTGCAGAAGGTATGTATTTAGCTGAGACCCGAAGGAAGCCAGGAAAGACAGGAGGCAGACAGAGATGAGGAAGGACAAGGGATGGCTACTGAAAATGCTGGGAGTTAGGGGATGAAGTGTATTGTG